ATGTGTTAAACATGATTTGATATTTTCATAACAAAATCAGTTTTGTTTCTCTCACCTTTAAAGGCAAAATAATAGTTTAGTATGTTCTTAGTGAAAATTATTCTCTTTGCTAGAAACTGGTGCACTGTGCAATATACGTGTTGTATGCGATCCTCATTTTTTTACTCTTTACCCTAGAAGCGTGTTAAAATGAGTGTCAAAATTATCTTCTGAAATAATAAAAGTAGAAATTTCTAAATTGACAAATGTATACAAATATTTTCTATACAAAAGATCCTTCGATTTTTTTTTATTGTGATACTCTGACTGCCACTAGTGATAACTATTCAGCTGAATATCAGTTTGAAATATTGAGCTTTTAAGAAATAAGTTTTACGTTTTAAATGAAATGAATGAGATTTTAGGTTAGTCTAGCTTAGGAAAATTTATACCAGAAATATCACTATTACAAAAGATGGATTCTAATAAGAACCAAAATGTCACATATGAGCTTTAGATGAAAATTTGCCTTAATACAGTGACAGATAGGATTGGTAGTTTAGAGAGTTTATATTCTGAACATATCATGATTCTTAAGATGGCAGCCATTAACATGTGTGTGGATCTATTTATAAATAGAAGGCACTTTTTGTTAATAAAAGTTATATTTTTGATATAGCTATAAGAAAAAACCACGTATTTATTAATAAATTAAATAGCATATTTTACATAACGGGGTGATAAATTGTGGCATTCACTCCTCTAAATTGCGTTATGGCAGCACGTATTACACAATGGGTTGGCAAAAAAATCAGTATGTATTGCTATTACATTACATGATTTCCATTTAAAACTAATTTTAACTTCGTGATATCTGCCCATCATTTGATTGAATCTACAGTCCATTTAGTCATTACCAACACTTTTTTAGCCGAATTCTTATCTTGTTTTGTTGCGAGTGTAGGGTTGGAAGGGCAGGTATGTGTTTTAGCACAAATGAAAGCCTAGGTATCATAAAACAGACGCAACGTGCGCGCAACATCCCTCTGTCCTTGGCTATGAATGATACTAGCAAGGTAGAGGTGTACCCAGGTTAACCCCAGGGAAAGGAGCAAATCAGATGGCAAAATCTATCTGGTTTCAGGATGTGCAAGCGCTAATGGTGCATCATCAAGTAGAGATTTCATTGAGAATATTAGACGAAATATTAAAATGAAATTGGAACGAATTCATCACCTCCCGTTTTTCATAGAAGGTGTAACTTTAAAATAGCATTTTAATATAATTTTGACAGTGAGAAATTAAATTTTTATACTATTATAGGAGAATATGCTGTAAACTATTGTCAAATAGAAAAATAATAATGTTTTGTATAATTTAGTATATATATTTAGAACTGTTGTTTGTTTGTTTGTTACCAAGCACAAAGCTACACAAAGGGCTATCTGTGCTCTTCCCACCTATTTAGAACTAACCATAAGCTAGACTAACTTCGTGAGGTATTATTTGGAATACGGCATTCTAATATTTATAAGTATGAATTTTTGAACAGTCTATTTAATTAATTATACTCAGTGCTATGTTGATTTTAGTTCTGATCTGTGTAAGTAGCTTGCTTTGATCAGGAGTTAATATTAATCCACAAACTGAATAACGAACCTGACGTTGTGTTATTTATAGAAGATCCATAGAGATTAGGCTACTGATGTCACACGCCATGACTGGAGTTTGATCAGTCTCAGATTATTCTCATGTCTGTGATGAAACAAGATCTAACTTTCAATTGCCTGAGAAGTGCCCCTGAGTATTCAATTTCACCTGTATAGGTTGATAAATACCAACAGTTAGATGAAGACGGTATTCCTTGTAAAGTATGGAGAGATTAAGCAATTCAGAAAAATTGAACGTTAGGGCTAGCTTGTATTGTTGAATTCTCTACTGTTGGTCATTTGATTGGAACTAGAGTGAGAAATTATTCTGTGCTAGCATTTCCTTTTTCTGTTATCTGTTGGTTATAATGTTGACTAATAGTGCTTTCATTATTTTGTTTAAGGAATTTGCAAGTTGAACACTTATCGTTATCGGTTTCTTTATGTCAATATTGTTGTTTCTTTTTTGTTATCCCGTAGCTAGTACAGTGAGTAGTAGGTGAATAATAAAAATTCCCCAAACTCTAACGAAATGGCCATGCCCATTATGAATATAGAGGCACAGAAACTTATTGACACTGTCATAAAATTGTTTTTCCAATTCTTTAATATTATTTGGTAAAAAAAATTAAAAATCCAGTCCATGTAAATTAATATATTTCTCCCATCACACTTCTACATTATTGAAAGTTGAACATTGTGGGAACTTATAGGCTACGTTTAAAAATGACGCTTACTGCATGACACTAATGTAAAAAATAAACTTACTTATACTTCCTAACTGAAAAGTAAACTCTATATGAAACAAAAACACATTCTGTATGATACACTCGGCTGTCTTTTTAACTATCTTGAAATAACTCTCAACTATCTTCTCAATGCTTTGCTGACCTCTTATTTACCCTCAAACGTACAAGAAAACTTGGTGTCAGATCGTTAGCATTTTTTAGGCTTAATTAACGTCACCAATATGACTGGCAGCTTCTTAGATAGCAAGGCATGGACCTATTATTATGCTTTATTATGTGTCTTCGTAGCAGTATTAATTTAATTGCAAGAACTACATTTTCAGAGTGGTGTTGAAATTGATTGACTTTTTTTGTTATGCTAAGTTATTCGTTTGTGAAAAATACGTTATTATGATCAATATGAACTGCGGATCAAATAAAGCTTTATATATTTGTGTTTGTGTATACCTATTTAAAGTGAAACCAAAATTCAAAACGGCGTATTGGTAATGATTATAGTTAATTAAATACATTTTTCTTACATTCTTAATCAAGATTAGAATGAAGTGTTTCATCAGTTGGGGTACTCCCACTGCCAACGACATTTTCGGCTGTAGTCACAATACTATTAAAAAATAACAACACTGAAAAGGAGAAAAGATAACGTACATTTACTGCAGAATTACTTTTTGCCATCAGAGTTTCACACTCACATGTAGCTTGTTGATCCAGTCCTCTGGTAGAACAGTGGTAAGTCTATAGAGTTGCAGTGCTATAATCCGTGGTTCAATTCCTGGCAGTTTACACATGATATAGTTCAATGTGGCTTTATTGTTGAAAACAACCAAACTTGTTGATTCATTCATATCTATATAAATAATACATTTGCGTTTGTCTGTCCATTACTTTTATCGCAACTTTCTCGATCAAACGCTAGAACTTCCATATCTTTAGAAAGGCTTTTGTTCGAGGAGCACGGATTACATATTGGCTTTCAATTCAGGATTATCTTACCTGTTTTTTGTTTTGCCAAACTTTTCAATGCAACGAGCATGCTATACGATGGCACAATGTTGTTGTCATCACATGATGACTGGCTTCGATTTCAACTTTAGTTTTTTATTTGTGAAGTAATTCACACAAACACATTTAACCCGCGTGTAATTAAAAAACACAAAAAATACACTATATACAATTGCTTTTGGTTTTCTCGACTTATTTAAGTCTCAAATGTGCATGCGCAGTTCGTTCAAAAACCATATGCTTATCACTTTGTGAACACGCATTCAGACGTTTCTGCATATTCAGCTAAGTTTGCCTTTATTGCAAATTTATATTTACTTTACTTTGCAATCATTTAGCTTCGGTTCGTTTCATAGACTGCTATAAACACCTTTTAACTACTTTTTTCTATTGTACGGGTTTAATTCATTTTTGTGATTTTTGGTTCAACCAGTAAAACAGTGTCATACACTGAATGCTCATAATTGTTTCATACTCTGTACGCTGTGTAGTTTTATTAAATAAAGTTATGTAGGTGTACTTTTATTAAAGAAACTTTACGCGAGTTTATATGTCTGACCGCGTTTTTTTTTCTTGTTTTGTTTTAATAGACAAGGATTTATCGATCTAACACACAATGCCTGCAAGAAAAGTGTAGCTTTAATGCCATGTGTGAAACTGATAGAATGAGGTAAATTCAAGCGAAAGGCATGAAAACTACCGCAAATGTTTTGCGGGTTGCGACTAGTACCATATAATTTATAATCAAACTCTTAACCAGTAATATCTAAATTGCAGATTTTTACATAACCTTGTTTCTTTCTTTTAGGAAGGTTAATATTTGGATACGCTGCTAAATTTTGAATATCACAAAGAGTTATAATTACAGGAATGGCTATGTCGCTCGTTTTGTGAATTTACATATAACGCATTATTACAAATGTTGCTGTACCACTAAGATGTTTTACACCTTGAGACTTCTTATGCCATAAGCGTTTAATTTGAATAATGCCTTAACTAAATTTTTGTATTTTTCAACACAACCAGCATGATGAGTTCTGGTATTATTCAACGAAAGGCTTCATCGGCTATGGAATATAAAATAAGCTATAATAGAAATGCTGTTATATACCTTTCTTATTGGGCACCCGTATTGGGCCAGTAAAGAATGACATGATTTGAATGATTATGCCTCATGCTGTGACTGTGAGACTATGTCACACACATAATACTAATATAACAAAATAAAAATGATGTTGTATGTTAAACTGTCTAACAGTTTCAATAGTGCCTGTTTTTGGTTGTAATAAAGATTTGAATTAGAAACATTGAGAAACTGACAAGGATGCATGAGTTTCTGTAAGGTTACAATAAAACATTGTTAATTCATAAATATATTAAGAACGTTAAAAACATGTAATCCAGTTTATACTTTTTTGGGATGGTTTTCAATAAATCGATAACTTAGGTATAAAATACTAGAAAAATAGTGTAAATTGATTTAATATCTTGTTTCCTTAAGAAGTTGGGATCTTGTAAATGTAGAGAAATATTTAGATTACACTTTTAACTTGTATTATAAACTTTTACCAACATGAACCCTGGTTCGAGATTTTCAAACAAATCATTACATACAACCAATCCCATAATGCAGTAATCATAACAGGTATCTGTTCTTGGTGGGGTTTGAGTGGAGTAGGCATCTGAAAAGCTCAGTTATTGGATGAATTAACGAAATATTATATTATATATCACTACTAGGGACAATAAATTATACAAATTTTAAAGTGTTGAGCGTAAAAAAAGGCCCATCTCTGGCTTTCATCCTGCCCTGGAAGCTTTTAATGAATTTACGTACTGCAGAGACTTGAGCCGAGGTATGAATACGATGGCTTCATCAAATGACAGGTAAGTACCCGAGCGAAGGAGGCATAATCAGTAACGTTTAACTTCCGCTTTATTATAAAGTTTATATAAAATGTATATTTATTTTAAGCTTACGTTTATAAAGTGCGTAAGTTACTTAGGCCTATTTTTATATGGTACGTTTTATGTGTAACTTATGCACTTTATAAGTTTATTATAAGGTGGTAAGCAGTGACATAGGTTTTTAGTTTAGGAGTACTTTTTAATATTTTTAAATTATAACATTTGTCAGTTATATTGTCACAGCATCATTGATTATACTCATAATAGTAATTAATATCATCTTTAAATGCAACCAAGAAGATAACACACATAGGTTATAATTTACCTGTTAATGTCAGCAAGAGCAATAGAATAAAGTGATTATTATAATATATAAATAAGTACTTAGAAATAGAAGTTATATGTATATTATAGATATCATATGATTACTTTAAAATGATATCATTGTCTGGATTTTCTAAGAAAGAAACAAATAACATTAGAATACATTTT